GGGGGGGGGGGGGGAGAGAAGACCCCTGCCCTCCCCCAGCCAGCCAGTCCTCAGTGCCCTCAAAGCCAGGAAATGGAGGGGTCTCAGAGGAGGATTTGGTGCTGGGGAGGGGGGGGGTTGGAAGCTGGGAGGGAAATAACCACAATATTTTAATCCAGGGGTGTCCAAACTGGAAGGCTTAGGTGGACTTCGATTCCCAGAATTCCCCAGTTGCTCTAGTCCCCGACCTTACGGCCACAAGGGAGCTCAGGGTTTCCACGGCTAAGCTGGACAGTTGTTGAAGGGAGTTTCAGCTCATTGTATGACTTGCCTTGCCGCTGTGGTTAAGTGCACCGTTGCGGTTGTGTAAGTTGGTTGTAAGGTGGTGCAAATCTGGCTTCCGCAGTGACTTTGCTGGTCACAAAGAGGATCACGTAGCCCCGGGATGCTGCAACCGTCATAAAAATGAGTCCGTTTCCAAGGGTCTGGATTTTAATCCCTGCAACGGTCATAAAGTGCGAAAAACAGTCATCGGTTGCTTTTTTTTTTTCAGTGATGATTTAACTTTGGTCACTAAATGAAGGGTTGTAAATCGAGGACTTCCTCTTTGCTGGCTGGGGAATTCTGAGAATCGAAGTCCACAAAGTCTTAAAAAGTGGCCAAGATTGGAGGTCTCAGTTTTTTAGGTCAGGGGTCTCCAACCTTAGCAACTTTAAGATTTGTGGACTTCAACTCCCAGAATTCCTCAGCCAGCAAAGCTGGCTGAGGAATTCTGGGAGTTGAAGTCCACAAGTCTTAAAGTTGCTAAGGTTGGAGACCCCTGTTTTAGATCATCAATCTCTTAACCGATAAAACAATATATCAGCTGCCTTGACGAAATGCAACCCAGTCAGATCCCCAGCATTTGCAGTTCTAGTTTTCTTGGTTAGTTGGGAAAGGTTTTATTTTGGTGAGTTTCTGTTTTAAAAACGATTGGAAATGGTTTCAGGTTTAAATAAGAGTACAGCCTTTAGAGAAGGAAGCAAAAACGTCTTCTGGAAAGGAGAAATAGGGTTTTGTCAACACGTATCTTCTTGCACTGATGTGTTACCTTGTCGGGTCATGAAATGTCTGTAGCAAAGCAAGCAAGTTCAAGCATCCCACCATCATCCTCCTTCTCCCCCACCATGTTTTAGCTCTGATTGTTAATTAATGTTAGTTGGTTAGTTCTCTTCCTCCTCGTCTTCCTCCCCTTCCCCATTTTAGCACTGATTATGTTATTCAATTGGTTATTGTTAACTGGGGCACCAAGGACCCCACAGTTCTCCTTTTCCTCCTCTCCCCCTTCTCCTGATAAACCCCACTCTCTTCATTGATGATGTTCCCTCCTTGGGTCATGAAAGGTCTGCAAGAAAACAACCAAGCTCAGAGAGCAACTTACGAACCCAAAAGCTGCACAATGAAGGCGGCTCCCGTAAGCAAGGAGAAAAGTTTTGAAATATTCCTTACAGACTGAGGCATAAGTCAACCGCTACCATCTTTTAAATACGGTAGCCTCAATTATCTTCATTCTTACCCTATGATCATCTCTTCAGCTATTTTTGAGTGACTGAAAACTGAGCCTATTTTCTGCCTCGGGAGAGGGACGCCCTTTGCCCGTGGTCAGGAGAGGGGAAGAAAAGAATAGAATTCAGGGTTTGGAAGGGGCCTCAGAGGTCTTCTAGTCCAACCCCCTGCTCAAGCTGTCCGGTATCTTCTAAAAGGCTGCCTGCGGTGGAGCTCCCACAACTCCAGGCAGAAAGAAACTCAACTGAAGTTTGCAGGTCATTTGGGGGCTCTTATTCATATCATTTTTTCTTTTTTACAGCCTGAAAAAAAAAAGAGAGAGAGTGAGGACACCTGTTTTGGCTGTGAGGCATGGACTGAAAAATAAACTCTAGGAGAAAACTTGCCCTATTAAGAGCCACAAATGAAATCTCTTTGCTGGGGCAGGGACTGTTTCTCTTTTTAAACCGATTTGAACATGTGTATGTTTACACCTGATCCTTTGTGCCCTATCACTTATGCAAGACATGTCCACGCAGGAATCTCAGGAGAATAACAAAGACCTAAGGTTAGTGTGCCACAGTTGTCATAAGCTAAGGTATCTCAAGGGCTGCCATAACGCAACCAGTGACTCATTAACACAAGTAGAGCGTAATGCTGCCTTACCTTCCCGTTGACTGACCTGCCCTTTTAGGTGAGACGCGGATGAGTTTTCAGGGGCTGTCGAGAAGTAAGTCTGTTAAGGATGCCTTTGAGAGCAGGGCTCCCCAAACTGGGCCACTTTAAGACTTGTGGACTTCAAACTCCCAGAATTCTCCAGCCAGCAGAGTTTTAAATCCACAAGTCTTAAAGTGGCCCAGTTTGGGGACCTCGGTTTGAGAGAGACTCTTAAAACGACACTTGATCAACATGTGGGACGGAGTGGTGACTTAATTTTAGCTTCTTGTGCCTATTTGAAGAAAATGAGGATAACCAGGGTTAAACTCTGTCATTCGTGGTGCTCTTTGAGGCTTCCTTGTTTGCTTGCAAAACATTTCATGACCCAACTAGGAGACATCATCAGTACTGGAGGGGGAAATGGGGTTTGTGGAGTGGAAGAGAAGGGGAAGTGATGGGAAGGAGGAGGACTGTAAGGTGCCAGTTGCTCTCTGAGCTGGGTTCTTTTTTTTTTTTTTTTTTGGACAGATGTTTCATGACCCAACTAGGTAACTTCATCAGTGCTAGAAGGGAGTAGTGTTTGTGGAATGGAGCAGGAAAAGGGAAGGAGGAAGATTGTGGGGTTCTTGGGGCTCCCTGATCTCGGTTGCTTCCTTGCAGGTGTTTCACTACCTAACCAGGTAACATCAATGCTCAAAGGGAATCGGGTCTGATTTTCTCTGTTTATGTACAAGTTGGCAAGGCAAACCCACCGAAAACCTCTGCAAGAGGCCAGCTGCCCTCAGGGAGCCCCTGCATATCTGAAGACTAGGCCTGTTTAGTGAAATAAGAGTTTGGGGAGGCCTTTCTGTGATTTGGGCGACCTCTGATGTGGAACTTGGAACCACATCGCTCGGAAAACCTATGGAGTGCATGGCTGGGGATGTTTTAAACTACCCGTTTTCAAAGGCTAGCTCCCCACATAGAAATACGAGAGGGCTTTTTGGGCCTGCAAGTGTTCCTTCCTCCAATTCTCCATATCACCCCCTGCAACCCAACTTTTCATCCGGCGTATCGTAAACCTTGTTTCAACGAACGGTGAAGATGCGCAGCATTCAGGAAGGAGCGTCCTGTTTGGTGTGCAAACGTGTCCGATCCGGTGTACTTTCTCATCAGAGAGGCGAATCTTAACGCTTGTGAAGGAGGGGAAGGAAAGCTGCTTGAAAATGGCTGAACTGTTCTGAGTTTAGATCCGTTATCTCAGTAATCCCGCAGGCAGCAGATCAGCGTAATTCTCTTGTCTTGAGTGAAGGGATTTAAAGGAGGGCTCTCCAACCTCGGCCCCTTTAAGGCCTGTGGACTTCAACTCCCAGGAATTCTGGGAGTTGAAGTCCACAACCCCTGCTTTGCTGGCTGAGGAGCTCTGGGAGTTGAAGTCCACAGGTCTTAAAGGGGCCAAGGTTGGAGACCTCTCCTTTGAACCACTTCAAAGCGTAGTAGGCCTACTACAACCGTTTATTTATTTATTTTTAAAATCAAACTCTACCAGCTCGTATTTGTTTGTGAAAGGTAGGGATTAGTTGTATTCACCGGATTTGCGGATTTCAGGGACTTGAGTGCAAGAAGTCCTCGACTTGCAACATTTGTTTCAGCGGCCGTTCGGCACCGAGAAAAGTGACTTCGAACCATTTGTCACAGTTAACGACTGTTGCAGTGTCCCCCGAGAGTCATGCAACCCCCTTTTGTGACCACCTGACAAGCCAGATTCACTTAACCACGTGGCTCACTTAACAACTGCAGCGATTCACTTGACAGCTGCGGCAAGAACGGTTGTAAAACGGGGCAGACCTCAAGAATCGGGGCTCTCAATTGTGGTCATCCGTCGAGGACCACCTATCTATGCTACTATGTCCTCTAGTAACCCCTTCGTAACCCCCTGTGAGATGCGTTGGTCTTTGAGAGCGTGGCTGCTCCCCATCGGAGTCTCTCCGCACTTGAGTTCACTCGTCACAATGTGACACTTTGGCGGGGCGGGGAGCAGCGAAGCCCCCACTGGACACTCCTGGCCCATTGAATTAGCGTGTGCGGCGCGTTGCGTATCGCGACACTGTGGTGTCTTTCATTGGCTTGGCTTTCCGCCTTTGTGAAAGCGGCTGCTATTTTTGCTGGTGCGGGTCACTTCAAAGCAGGGTGGGCTTCAAAAAAATTTTTAGCAGTGGGTTCTCTGCACGGTTACTGGGTGGGCGTGGCTTAGTCGGCCTCCTGCACCACGGTGGGAGGCAGAGGTGGTACCTAGCCGGTTCTGACCAGCGGAAATTTGGGAGTCGTTCGGAGAACCGGCCAAACCCACCTCTGACTGGCCCCGCCAGCCCCATCTATTCTCTGCCTCCCATTGAGTCCCAGCTGATCGGCTGGGTCTCCTTTGGTTGCCCTGCCCAGGAGAACGGAGCTGGAAAGCAGGTTAGTGGAGCGGGGAGGGAAGGGGGATTTTGCAGTACCTTTCCCCTGCCACGCCCACCAAGCCCCGCCCACAGAATGCCACGCCCATCAAACCACACCCACAGCCGGGTCTTCTTTGGTTGCCCTGCCCAGGAGAACAGAGCTGGAAAGCAGGTTAGTGGGGTTGAGGGGGGAAGGGGGATTTGGCAGTAGATCCTTCCCCTACCACGTCAGCCAAGCCACGCTACGCTCACTAAGCCACAGCCACAAAACTGGTAGTAAAATTTTTTGAATCCCACCACTGGTGAGAGGGGGGCATTTTAGCCCTTCCTGGACTCTTCTTGAGTCTCCAGGAGAGCCAAGATTGACCTCCCCGGCTCCACGGGCTCTCTGGAAGCTGGAAACCGGCCCAAACTTCTGGGAGGCCTATTTCTCGCCTTCCCTGAGCCTCCACGCAGGCCCTGTGCTTACCTGGGACCCAAAACACGGAGGCTCCAGGGAGGGGAGGGGTGGGTGGGGCCAGCCAGCCGGGTGGGATTTGCCGGTTGACTGAACAGGCCATTAAAAATGATTTTTAAAAAAATTAGCTACCAGTTCGGCCAAACTGCTGTGAACTAGAAGCAGCACACCCTTTCTTGAAAGGCTGGATTTTTCCAAAAGTAGGAGAATCTGGAAGAAATGGGGGGGGGGGCGTGTTTTATTTATCAAATTTAGATACTGCCCATCTCACTGTTGGAGTGACTGTGCCCATCATCGCGTCGGCCACCCATTCGTTTGTGGTCGTGTTCCTCTGTCGTGCCTTTCAATTTCAGTGTACACTTCTTGTGCATTGATAGGAAATGTTTGACTGATTGATGGATGGATGGACATACCTGCCCTGTGTCACCTGGATCTGCTCCCCCCACTGAGATCTGGAAGTCCCTGAAGAGGAAGGAGGTTTTACACACACACACACACACACACACCCCGCAGGTGCCGGGCCAGCATGTCAAGTGGGCCCAGTATGTGTGTGGTTTGTGTGGCGAATTTGTTATAGATAGCATGCCTTGGTCGCTATATTACAATTTTTTTTTTACAATTCTGGAGGGTTTTTGTTTGTTTGTTTACAACTTACAACCATTTCTTGCAGTGGTGGGATTCAAATATTTTTTTTTACTACTGGTTCTGTGGACGTGGCTTGGTGGGCGTGGCAGGGGGTGTGGCTTAAGACCACACCCGGAATACAGGATCCAGTTTTGGTCTCCACAGTACAAAATACATGCTGAGATTTGGGAAAAAGTGCAGAGAAGAGCAACTAAGATGATTAAAGCAGGCCTGGATGCAGTGGTGGGATTCAAAAATTTTTACTACCAGTTCTGTGGCTGTGGCTTAGTGAGTGTAGCGTGGCTTGGCGGGCGTGACAGGGGAAGGATATACTCCCAAATCCCCCTTCCCTCCCAACCCCACTGACCTGCTTTCCAGCTCCGTTCTCCTGTGCAGGGCAACCAAAGGAGACCCAGCCGATCAGCTGGGACTCAAGGGGAGGCGGAGAATAGAAGATGGGGTTGGCGGGGCCAGTCAGAGGTGGGATTGGCCGGTTCTCTGAACGACTCCAAATTTCCGCTCCCGGTTCTGTAGAACCGGTAAGAACCGGCTCAATCCCACCCCTGGTTTATTGGTTGAATCAACACAGTAGTGCTAAGCATAACGTGGTTTGTCTGGGTTCCTTGGGATTAGCCTGAATCTGGGTCTTGGGGCAGATAGTCCTTGACTTACGACCACAATTGAGCCCAAGCGTCCCATCGTTAAGTCAAAGTCAGCTTTGCCCCGTTTTATGACATTTCATGTCACCGTTGTTACACAAGTCATCAAAGATGTTAGTCAAGTTAGGTTCCAGAGTGAATCTGGCTTCCCCAGAAGGTCGCAAGAGGGGATAACTTGGCCTCCCCCACCTCCTCCGGGACACTAAAGGCATTACGAGTTATGAACAGGTTGCCAAGCGTCCGAATTTGGGTCACATTTTGACCATGGGGATGCTTCAGTGGCCGTTAAGTGTGAAAAGCAGTCATAACTTACGTTAGAATAGACTGAATGACCTGGAAAGAGACCTTTGGAGGTCTTCTAGTCCAGCCCCCTGCTCACGCAGGACCACCTAGGCAATGCCAGACCGCTCCTTCTTCAAAGCCTCCAGTGATGGAGCGGCCACGATTTCTGGAGGCTTTTCAAAGTGCTGTTGTAACTTCCAGCGGCCACTAAACTGAGGGTTTAACTTAGTTGTTTCTTTATTTCCTTGCAATTTTTATCCTGCCTTTTCACTCGTAGTTTATGGTGGTATCATCCGTGATGGCTAACCTTGGTCGCATGCCGAAAGTGCGTGTGTGTGTGTGTAATACAATGCATGTGTGACCCCTGCACATGTGCGTGTGACGGTCCATGTGACCCCCCTCCCCCTGCGCATACGCACACAAACCCTCATGCTCCCCCTGCATGTGCACCTGCGCATTCGCCCGCTCCCCCTCCGCCCCGTGCATGTGCGCATGAACCCCCGCGTTCTCCTGCCCCTTATACATGCACGTGCAAACCCCCTCCGTGCTCCCCCGCCCCTCTGCGCATGCCCGTGCATGTCATGCGCCCCATGGATGCGCGGCAGGTACCCAACAATCAGCTGGCTGGTGGGAGGTGCGCATACATGCGCAGTGGAACTGAGCTGGGGCGACAGCTCCTGTGCCAGCAGGGATGGCTCTGCATGCCACTTCCGGCACACGTGTCATAGGTTTGCCATCATGGCTACACCTGGTGGTCTCCACTGATTTTATTCCTCCACAGCAACCCTGTGAGCTCCTTTGGGGTGACAACATGACCGCCCCAGAATCCATTCTGTGATCTTCCATTTCTTGGACCGGCCTGGATTGGGCTCCGTGTCCGATTTCTTCACGAACCCATCCTCCTCCCCGCCCTGGTGTCCTCCACGGCCTTCCTGAGTTTGTCCAAATCCATGGCTCCGATGACGCTATCTAGCCAATCCTGGTCCCGTGTCAGTGCAGTGCTTGATTCCCACGAGTCCGTTATGACCAGGGTGAAAATTGTGGCTCGTTCATCAAACCACGATGGAACACGACGTACCACGGTGTGCGAACGCATATACCTGGTGGACGTTGGCTATTGGCAAGTGGCTTTCTGAGATTCTGGAGAAGTTAGGAAGAATTGAACCTGGGACTTCCTTCATGAAAAGCTCTGGGCCAGTGAAGTTGAGAAATACAGGTGGTCCTCGAGTTACGACAGTTCGTTTAGTGGCCAAAGTTACAGCAGCACTCCAAAAAGTGACTTGTGGCCATTTTTCACCCCTAGGACCATGGCAGCATCCCCATGGTCACTGTAAGCGATTTACATTTTGATGCTTGACAGCGGGTTCATACTTACGGCGGTCGCATTTTCCCTGGGGGGGGGAGGGGCTAAGGGAATCCCCTTTCGTGACCTTCTAACAAGCAAAGTCGGCGGGGAATCCGTATCGGCTTCACTGTGTTACTTAACTGCGGGGATTCCCTTTAACAACCACGGCAAGGAAAGTCGTAAAAGGAGGCAAAATTCACTCAACAGATTTCTCCCTCAGCAACAGAAATTTGGGGCTCAGTTGTAGTCGTAGGTTGAGGTCTGCCTGCATTTCCTAATGCCTTTGGCCGAACTTTGCAAACCTTATTTTACTCGTCTCTTCCTTCTTTCCTAGTTTGGATCGTTCAGATATTCAGGCACCCTTTTTTTTTTTTTTTTGCACAGGTAGTCCTTCACTTGTGACCGTGACTGAGCCCACAATTATGGCCATAGGTCCCACTGGTGGTTGAGCAAAAATCCTCATGTGACTGTGACTGATTTCCTGACCTTTCTTGGGATGGTTGCAAAACGAATGCTGTGTTTTTTTTAAAGCTTAGCCATTGTTCGTTCTTGGGGCATTTATATTGTATCAGAAACAGAAAATAAATAAAGAGTTTCGGCAAAAGCATAAATCCTGGTCTTGCAATTGCTGTTAAATGTCAGCCTGTTGCCATGTGACCGGGGCGGGGAAAATTTGGAACTTCAAATCCGGGGTGGAAGTACCTTTTCCCAGGTCTGTCGTAACTTCGAATGGTCAGTAAGCGATTGGTTGTAAGTCGAGAACTTCTAATCATAGGGAGGAAGGCTTCGTGGGTTGTAGGGGTTCCTGGGCTCAGTTCAGGTGTCCCTCGAAAGACAACGCTGTTTGCAAACGTGGTGACTTCTCTGGAAGACCAGACAAGGACCTGTGGGAATGCGGCCTGGAACGTTTGCTGATACGGCCGTCACGTGCGGGGAACTTAAGCAGCCCGGGATGCAGTTGGGATCTGCTCTCGGGGCCTCCTCCTTGGGCAGGGGGTTGAACTAGATCAGGGGTTGGCAACCTTTTGGACCTCAGGGACCACCAAACTCATCATTTTAAATCCCGCGGACCAGAGACCCTGGGAAAATCCCCCCCCAAAAAGTCTGCAGGAAAATCCCCCACCCCGTTTTCCTACCGATCGATCGTTCTTTATTTGGGATCTCAGGATATTGTCTCCAGCTCCGTTCTCACGGGAGGAGAGGAGAGACTTTTGGCTTCATGCAAGGAAAACAGAAGCAGCAGCAGAAGTCTTTCTTTCTCTCCCCCAAACGCTGCCAGAAATGAGTCTTTGTAGCCTCTTGGAGCAGGAAAGGCCTTGCAGGGTCCCAAAGACTCATTTCTGGCAGAGTTTGGGGGAGGGAAAGAAAGACTTTTTAGAAGAAAGAAGCAGCCCAGTGGCCAGGCGGGGGGCGCGGGGGGCAAGTTCGCCCACTTCATGCTTCCCCTCACTACCTCGTGTGGTTCGCAATGCAAGCGACGCAAGCCTTGTGTTCCCACGGGCCCTGTGGGTGTCGCAGCCTTGTGTTTTTGCGCAGCCTGGATTAATCGCTTTGTTGGGGGGGGAACGGGGACATTTCTCTGCGGACCACCAAAATTTTCTCGCAGACCACCAGTGGTCCCCGGCCCACCGGTTGGCAGTCACTGAACTAGATGACCTCCAAGGTTCCCCCCTTCCGCTCTATTCTGATTTGAACGTGTGCGAAACGGTTGAACCAGCAGGCAGGTTCCCTGGCCTGGAATTCTGGCTTGTATTTATTTTTGTTTTTTCAATTAAAAAAAGAATCCATTTTGAACAAAAATCTATATTTTTCTGTTCCCGGCCTCTCTCTCTCCCTCTCTCCTCCCCTCCCCTCCCCGCCTCAAAAGTATTTTTAAACATACGCCTGAAGCGCCTTTTGGCACTAAGAGGGCCACCCCTGGCCAAGAAATGTCCTTTAGCGCATCAGTTGGGCCTGGATCCAAGAAAAACGGGTAACAAAAGGATCGTATTTTAATTGGGTACCAAATGCTTCCTCATCTAACGGAAGAGGCTTTCTAGGGTTGGCCTTTCCCTAAGTTCTCCTTCCCAACGTGGTTGCTTCTTGTGTTCCGTGAGAACCGGACGCCCCGGAGGGTATTTCTTCAGAGCCCTAGAAGAAACACCTCCCCGCCTCAAACAAGGCCAGGAGGACAGAAGACGTGGCGGCGGAAGAGAGAGAATCGCGGGGTTCTCCGGGACCCCTGAGCTGGGTGGTTTTCGTGCAGACATTTCACGACCCAACTAGATAACGTCATCCAGGTTAGAAGAGAGTGGAGGAGGGTTGTGGGATCCTTGAGGCTCTCTGAGTTTGCTTTTTTTGGGAAGGTGTTTCATTACCCAACTAGGGAACGTCCTCAGCCCTACTGAGTGTCTGGCATGTTCCCTGCTAGAAGGGAGTGGGGTGTGCGGAGGGGAAGAGGAAGGACCACGTCGTTGTAGTTGTTTTCTCGCACAAACTAGGCGCCTTCAACAGTGCTAAACAGAGAGCAAACCTCACTTCCTTCTAGCACTGATGATGCTTCCTCGTTGGGTCATGAGATGTCTACAAGAAAATCACCAGGCTCAGAGAGCACCAAGGAGCCCACAGTCCTCCTCCTCCTCCAACTCCTCCTCCTCCAACAATTCTTCCTCCTCCAACTCCTC